CATTTATTAAATAACGTGTTCGAGTAAATACAGAGAATTTGTCAATATAGAAAATTCCGCCTCGTCTTTTTTTAGGCGACAAACGTAAAATAGAAGCTTTGGTAGGAATTCTGGCTCCACACTGCTTTTAGCACACATATTGACGTAGCGTTCTTTTATATCGTAGCTATAAAACTTGCTACGAACACTACGACAGAACTGGCGTGCGAAATTGAAGCCGCAGATAAACAGCTCCCCTAGAAGATAACATTAGGCTACACGACCCATAAGGTATTTGGGTCTTTAACAACTAACATTGTCTTTCCTACTATGTATGTTATGGTAAAAATATGGTATGGTAAAATTAAAATGTGTGACAGAATATAATCAAAGTCAAAATTATATACATATATTATATATTTTTCTATTGTATATTTCAATATAGGCTTTTTTTAAACTATTATCATCGAAAACCTACCACCCAATGTACCTTACACCATGTCTGATATATTGGAAATTTTCTTGATTGAATTCTCTGATTAGCATTTGTCTTAGTTTCAATTTGTCATAGTCTCAATTACAATTTGAATTCTGATACAAAAGAGACGTTAGCATACGCTACATATTGAAACAAAACAATTTATAACAATAACGCTGACAACATTTTGTACTTATAAATAATTCGTACTTTAATGTATAAGCTTCTCCACCTTGAACTTGTCATAAATGCTCACGCTCTCGATTTTTCGTAACCTCCAAATTCCACCGGTCTAAAAATACATACAAAGAATGAAAGATAAAACAATAAAACGAAACAATAACACTGCTATATACATATGTAACGTTTCGTTATTCTGTTAACGATAACGACACTAGTTCAACAACATAGTAAAACGAAACATTGTGCATAATACGTTTAACGTTTCGAAATTCTGTTAAAGACACTGTTCCAACAACATATAGCCTTTTATGAGAATAATGGACGTTTGATCGTTCAAGCGCGGTAACAACAGCCATAATTAATTGCTGCGTGTGTGAGACAGGACCGTGATTGTTTCTCTATAATTCTTTTTTCTTCTCGCATCTCTATTATTTATTTTTTCTCTTAAACAATAAATAAATATTTACACATTTTTACGCAACGTTCTCTAGTCCCAAACTAAGTAACGCTTGTTCTATGGATACTAGATTACTGATAAACATACTTAAAAGTACTTTTATTTTGTAAATAAATATATTATAACATATATAAACACCGAGACACTAGAAAATAATACTATGTTCATCACACAATATTTTTCCAGTAGTGTATTTTTTCGAAGTCAAAGTCAAAGTATCTTTATTGAATATAGGCTTAACTTAAGCTCTTATTGAACGTCAACAAAAAATCTACCACGAAGTTAATCTAAATATAGCGTATAGTAGTCGGACCTAGTCCATATAATAAGCACAATGGTATATCATGAGGACTGAGGTGCAGAGTAGCTATTTGGGACATTTGTCTTGACTGCCAACTTAAACATGCTTGGCTTGACAGGTTTCCCTCGAGACAATTGACTACCTAGTAGTAACTAAACGAAAGTACTGAGCTTTTCTAAATGGTCTTACTTTAAAGCTATCTAATAAGAAAACGGCTAAAGATTTGTTTTTACTTGATACTTGTAACAAAATGGAATTAATAATGCCCTTCACACATCACGTAGAGTACCATATTTAGAGTATATTTTATAAACCAACATTAATATCGGAAAGATATCAAAATAGAGGATTTGAATAATATAAAGCAGTTTCTTCCTCAATTTCGTAAATAACTTTATTAGGAGTACATAAATATTTAAAAAAAAAATGGTAGAAATGAGTATTTTTGGAACCAATCATCTGATCCCGTTGTTCAATGAATGTGCGATCTAAAGAAAATCCGAGTGATTTTCCAAAAGCAAATTTAGAACGCTCGTTCGATTTCTTTCAAGTTTTAATGGAAACACGAAAATCCCTCTTTGATGTGATACTAAGGTTAAAACGAAAGTAATTTGACATTTTGGAGCGTGGGTTGATATTCTGACGTTTTATATAGAGTGGAGTAAATCTCCTTGGGTGTAGTTAGAAATGATTTACCCCAGGACTTTTCAAGTTTATTAACTTATTCACTAATACCCACGTAGCCGACGAGGATAGTGGATTCGCATATATTTTTAGATTTTAGGAAAACATCGTGTGGAAACCTGCGTATTTTCGAAATAATAATAATAATAAATTTTCTTTATTGCACACCAAAATAAAACATACAAGAAATATACCTCAATTTTTACATTTTAGGTAAAATGGGCGACCTTATTACTAAAAGTAATGTCTAGGCAATCTTATGATGGATTGGAATAAATTAGGAGAAAAGGTGTGGGTTAGTTGTACTTATTAGTGAAGGAAAAAAATAATATCGTAACCTACAATAAAACAATAACAAAAAAAAAATATTTCGAAGATATGTGAATTCTGCCAATCCGGAGCAGATTAGCGTGGTTCCCTCTGTATAGAGGACGCCTTTGCCCAGCGGTGGGACATGCATAGGCGAAACTATTTCCAACTGGTATGGGTTCGAGAAAATGTAATTGCAAACATTAAAGAGCTTAAATTTTTGGGATTAATTAGTATATTTTGTGCTAGTCTCTGCGTTCAAGATTAAGCTTCGAATTGTAAAGTTTTCTACATAAATGAACAAAAAATTTCGCCCCAGACGTTTTACCAAATAAGCTAAACTTAGTTATTTTTAAAACATGTAGAAAAAGTACGAAAAGATTGTCGCCGCTGTGGGATTCAAACCCAGGTCTTCGGCATTCGCGGCCTGACGCTCTAGCCACTGAGCTAAACGGCTGATAGCCACAGCGACGGATATCTTAACGCCTTCTTTCTACATTGTTATTTAGCATTTGAAGCAATGCTTGGCGCTCTTTTCGTACTTTTTCTACATGTTTTAATGTTCAATCTTAAGTGCAGAGATTAGCACTATAAAAAACTTTAAAAATTAGTTATTTTTGTCCATTTATCATCAAAAAATTACAACATAAATTGAGGAGCTTAGTTTAAAATGCCTGATTAAAGTAATCTCTCGCTATGTCTGTCCACCCCCTTAGGATTACGGACCTGAGAGCTTGTATTCATAGTACAGTATATACTCTAGTCTATACTACTAATATGACACAAAAGTAAAGTAAAGTAAAGTAACAACTTATACATCCACTGCTGGGCAAAGGCCTCCTCTATACAGAGGGTATCAGGGCATAGTCAACCACGCGGCTCCACTGCGGATTGGCGGACTTCACATATTTTCGAAAAATATTTTCTTTGTTATTATTTCGAAAATATGCAGGTTTCCTCACGATGTTTTCCTTCACCGCGGAACACGTGATAAGTGATGATGAACGTGATAATATGACACAACTATACTTTAATTGTAGTGTCATATTGAAGTATATCAATATCCATTACACTCAACACCTTTACGTTTTCAATATTTTCATATATAAAACTGTAAAGCGCAGATTAAATATTCTTAAAAGCTCTGCACTGACCCTACGTCCCAGCGTTCGGTTCTGACTAGGATCGATTCATTGCTTTGCGGCAAAATACAAGTACTAAAAGATAAGTAGATGTATTTCACACCTATTCACTGTTGTTTCCAGTTTCTTAATTTCAGATTTGTACAGCAGTCAGAAAAATTTTTGTGTAAGGAGCTGTCTTAATTTCAATAAGTCCGTGCTAATGCGCTATATGGATTCTTAAAATACCTTTATCACTTCTGGATCTAGGCTATACTAGCATTACAAACTGTGATACTATTACAACAAATGTTAACAAAACACATAAATTTTATTACCTTTTTAAGATATGTATGTTTATATCGGGTTAACAATTTTTTTTTCTAGTCTACTTAACTAACTTAACTAACAAAATATATTTAAGTACGTAACTTTATCTATGTTATATTTAAACAGATAGTATATAGGTACCCAAATATGTACTATCCATTTACACATAATGAGATCACTTATTCAATTTACATATACTTGTCCAAAATATACATAATATTAAAAAGTAAAACATAGTAATACATATCTCCCACTTGTGGGCTTAGGCTCGTCTGTTGAAACGGTACAATAATTTATGATGTATAAGATAATTGGTTATAATCTTATACATCATAAATTATTGTACTATTGTGTAATAATTGCAAAATATTTATTACTATTATTGTTTTGAAAATATGCAGATTTCCTCATGTTGTTTTCATTCACCACTGAGCACGTGATAAGTCAGCACCTAAAATTAAATTAAAAATTTCATTTGTGCTGGCATAGGAATTTAAACTCAAGTGACTCTAGTAAAATGAGCGCCCGGACAGCTATCATTGCACGTTATTATTTAAAAAAAATACGTTAACTAAAAATCAATTATTGTGAATGGGGATGGTAAGTCTAAGTAAAACTAAAGTAAGCACATCTGGAGTAATAGCTAGTATCGAAATAGCTTTCGAACTTAATCCTCATATTTACGATAGAAGCGCTTAATTTCGTTTGTCTTAATTAATTGGCATTAATGAACTGAGCCATAATTTCTTAGTTTTCGAATTAAATGAATATTAATGAGTTAATGACTTTCATTTTGGTAAAAACTTGTATGTTTCCCGTGGCTACAACTAAAGGTTTATTTGTTATTTTTTATTTTTACCCAACTGACGAAGGAGGGAAATGTTTTTCTAACGTATGTACGAGTATGTATGGAGTTTAATTATTTAGCGAGCTCTATAGTCTCAGCCTTTTGACGGATTACAACATACAAGAACAACTGAGACGATTCTAATTACACCTCAGTATGATTACAATCTTCTCCGTTGTGACGTAGGTGACATAATTTAAATATGGTGTCGCAAAAAAAAAAGAATTGGGATAGGTGATATTTTAAAGTGAGCCGTGTTTGTTTAATCTAACAATAACTTTCTTTGCTCATCTCATCGTTTCTGCCAACAGTTGTACCACCGGGCTCACTTGTCGGCGGAAGACCATCCGTCAGAGGAAAGCCGGAACTGCCTCGAGGGTCTACTGCCGGTCTTCCAGGTAACCTTGTCATACATGTTTGATTTTACTAACGATCCGCCTCACGTTTTTTTTTTTCGAGGAACATAAATACATGTTTTTTTTATGTGAGAAAGTGGCAAACGTGCAGGCGGTTCACCGGATGTTAAGTGCTGCCCATGGACATTTGCTACACCCGTAATGTTGCAGATGCGTTGCCACCTTTCAATAAAGTGGACAACGGCTACCTCACTCACCAGACGAAACGCAGAAGTGCAACACTTCCACTTCACGCCGGTCTTCTGTGAGGTTTTGGTACTAAACCCCATGGAGCTGCCCATTCGTGCAACGGCGAACTCTGTTGCGTGGCTCTACAACCGAAAGACATATATAATAAATACTTAGCCTATTATATATGTGTATGAGCTACACCTGATTTTGCATGAATTTAGAATATTAGGGGGTCATGGGTTCAATTCCCATGCGGGACAATCAAACGTGATTGCAATCAAAAGGCTTAATAGCTCATATTAAAATACCAGACTAGAAATATTAAATGAACTAAAAGAATTCGGGTGTATTAATAATAATAATAGGACGTGCCGCACTTAGCTGTAAACTAGGCAATTTAATAATTCAATTTCATTTTTACAAAAACTCAATGAACCTCGACTTGATCGGTGTAACAGTAAAAAGCCACGGTAGGCTTTCATAAAAGAAATATAGCTTTCGAAGTTGAACTCAAACGGAAGTAAGCCGACACAGCGAGCTGTTGAAACGGTAGGGGATAAATACACTGGAGTTATGTTTTATACTTGTTAAAATATATCCGTAATAATGGGTAAACGGTATTATTGTCTTTTGTTAATTATTGGTCGAGTCTGAAAGCAGCTTCTGTTGTTTAGTGATGAACTCAATAAGGGAAATACACTTCTGATTGAGGGTAATTGGAAGTGTATTGCTTTCTGGGACAGTCAGGATTTGAAGCAACCAAAGTCTAGAAAACTGTAAGTTTTCTATTGATGGCTGTTTGTGTCCTAAGTGGTATACGAACCATTTTGGCTTGGTTTTATTATTTCTAAATCAACTTTTGCCTTCGTATTTCATTTCCTTCACGAGGGACGTAATCGTAAGTAATCGTTTATGTTAGATAGCTAGCCATTGTTATAGTTAATAAGCGGCTAGTCTGTGTAACGCTTAACTGCATGATGAAATAAATAAAATCGGTCTTTTCTTCCTAAGGGGCTAGTCCGCTAACCACTGCGCCGTTAGCCGCCCCCCTACATCCAGCAACGAGGCAGAGGGAGCAAGCAGCACTCGCCCCACCACCACACGCGTAAGTACAAAACTCTGCACAGTGTGCTAGAAGAATAAACTCACTGTCATTCCGTTTCACGAAACATCGTAGAACTATCCAGAAGGGTCGAGAAAATAAAGTACTTTTAAGCGTGCTGGTCCTAAGCTGGCGCTATGGTCCTTTTAGAATTTAGATAATTGACAATAACATTGCCCTAGCTTGAGTAATTCAAAATTAATAGTATTGTAGCTTCAAAGTTTAGTAAGTAGATTAGTCCTATTATAGTTCCACGGCATTATCATGAGTTCACGCACACAGATGCAATTAACAAAGAACTCACTTGATCAACAAAAAAAAATCGACGATAAGTCTGCTGATTTGCGAAGAATCCGCAATAGAAGCAACCGTGAAGTGATAGAACGCACTTGAAACTTGGCATCTGTTTCCGTGGACACGTCTCATGTGCATTAATTAAACGCTGTCGATCGTTCAGATCGTTCTTGCGCAGGACCTCGACGGGGAGCGCCAGCTCCGGCGAGGCACCGGCACCATCACCCAGCCCCTCTGGAGCCAGCCACTCTGATAAGGACCAAGACCCACAGGTAGCCAAGAATTTTCAAAAACACCACCATCAAAGTATGTTCCAGCCACACAGCAGCATATATACTCGACCGAGTCGCAGCCATATTCCCGTGCAGGACTGGCATAAAGCAGAACTTTTCCAGTGTGGGACGACCCCACTAGATGGAGTGACGACCTGTTCAAATGTGCGGAAGTCGATGGATGCCGGTGGCCCAGGATCGTGTTTCGTGGCAGTCTGTGGAGGAAGCTTTCAGCAATGGATTTGAGCAGTCCGAAATGATGATGATTATGATGTATACTTTAAGCGTTTCGTTCATTGTGTCAAGTAAACTGGAGCCGCTATTTTAAGAGTTGGCAACGTAAACATTCTACTGCTGTGAGTTTCCATGGGCAGAATAACATCTAGAGAACCGCTTGCTCGTTTGACACTCTCAAAATTAATCCCATCAGTAATAGAAAAATTTAAGGTAAGTTAGTCAATTGTAAATGTGTTCGAAACTACTATATACTACACACGATTTATTACTTATTAATAATTATGTGTGTTGATAATTATAAATGTGGGAACGAAACAGATGTCCGCCGCTCCCTTCGGTCGGCATGCTCGACCCACTGATTATTATCGAAACGTGGCTATTTGCAGCTTAATGCGATAACATATCTTTTCCGCTAAATAAAAATAAATATTTCTGTTCCTCCCGTTCCCGTAATGTACAAACGATAGTCTTGAAATTGTTTCGAGTTGAAGAGCGCACAACCGTCAAAGTTGGATATAAAAATTACGAAGACAATTTAAAGAGGCAATGCAACGCATTGCTCGTGTATTCTCCATAAAAATTAACTGGTAGAAGGAACTATAAATATAAAATTTTAAAATTGAATCTATCTACTGTAATGGTACATAGGTACTACTTTTTTGTAAGCTTCTCTCTGTCAAACGGACAGAATTATAAAGACAGCTTTCACGGCGTAATCGACATTACTGCCACAAGTAATCAAACAATCAATTCAAATGTAATTTCAACGGGTATTATTGATGCAAGCATTTTATTCCGAAATCCGAATCGGTATACAGATTATTTTAATAATTATATTTAATAATGATTATTTTAATTCCGACCAATTACCCAAAACTATAATAAAAGAGATGAAGGTTTTTCCCGCAACAAAATATACGTAGGCACGTAATGTTTATATGGTTAATTATCAAAAGTGCCCTAACACGTGACCAGTTGCATCAACACTTATAGCCCAAGTCAAATATGCCTAAATAATAAGTTAAAATTGTTTGATTTCATATCAATCTGTGTTCCCCTTAAAGATCTATTGAAAAGACGGGACAAATCTTAAAGACTTCAAGGCCCGCTACAAGGCCAAAAAAGTCAGTCAAATAGTCAGTCTATCAAGCAATCAGTTATCAGCCAATCAAACTGTCCCTTCTTTTATCCATACAGTATATACAGCCTTAAGCAAACCATAAAAATGTCAAATACTCAAATCCAGATAAACGTAACACGGTACCAGGCAATTTATCCTTTTTTATTATTTAAGGCCTCCCCGCCTCAGAATAATATTAATAAAAGCGTACGTAGGTACGAGATATTGGATTCGCTAGAATGATGTCACCCGGCTTTATTGAACTCGTAACGTCAGCGGAATATATGTACACGAACCGTGGATTCTTAGATATTCTTTGTAAGCAAATTTTCTTATAAAGAATATTTATTTTAGCTATATTTGTGAACACCAAATATTATCGTCCACTAGTATATAAAAATGTTTTGATTCCTCATTTTAAAATAGTATTTTTGAGTTAAATCTTAGATTATATTTAAATAATAACACCATACCTAATCTTGGATCTGTTCTTACATAACATTTAGATCGGAGAAAGCGAAAACTCCCTTGAATTATCTGAATTGCTCTTTAATTTAAGTGACTTATGCTTAGATTCAGGAGTAGTTTGCCCCGTACAATTAAAAGCAAAGAAATGATATCATCATATATTTTCCAGTTCAATAAATCTGCCGGCGTTGGTCTTACCATCCAATTATAACGTAGGCGTCTTCAAGGCAACAGTGAATAGGCTTTTACTGAGCTAGCGCGCTCACCATCAACGGCTACACCGCAGTCAAGCGCTGATCAGTTCCATAATAATATAAAAGAAATAAAAGAAAAACTATTTTCTTCACTTTTACCCGAACAGAACTCCATTAAAGGGAACGATGCGTTCGTGCGTTAATTTATACATATAATTGATTATCATTCCTTGAAAGGAGAAAATAGAAAAGTTGGAAGAGGACAAGAAGCGGCGCCTGCAGCTATACGTCTTCGTGTCGAGATGTATAGCGCACCCGTTCAACGCAAAACAACCAACAGACATGACCAGACGGCACACGAAGCTGACGCCGCACCAGCTCGAGACCATCCAGGCCCGGTTTCAGGTCTGAAGATTCACTTTCTTTTACTTCCCAAGGAACGGCTCTCCGCGGTAGGGGTACGACACGGCTTCGGGTGTCACACGAATGGGCAGGTCCGCCCGGTTAAATACCACGACCACACGGAAGAGCGGCGTGAAGTGGAAGTGTCACATTTCCGCGTTTCGTCCGGTAAGTGGGGGAAACGAGACCGACTTTATTATCAGGTGGTAACGCATCTGCAACCCTAAGGGTGTCATATCGGTGAACCGCCAGCTCGCTTACGACGTCCTCAAATAAAAAAAACTTAAAAAATATTGACATTCATCAGTCCCGTCACCGAAATAGAACTCACTTGATCACATCATGCTCTTTGAATAGTGATGATTTAATTTTCAACTCTGTCAACGCCGCATCTTCTGCTGTACGAATGGGCAGGCTCGTCTGGGGAAGTACCACGGTGTTAAATGAAAGTATCATGGTCGATAATCGCTCAACATCAAATGAACCACCAACCCGCCCGCCAACTTTTCACATGACCTAAATGAAAGCAGCTTACTGCAGCGGATGCCACAATCAATAACCCTTAATTATTTCTTAGGCATTCCTAAAAGGCGAGACTCAGATTCTCGCTGATGAGGCCTTCCAAAACGCCGTTCAGTCGTACTACGACGTATTCCTGAAGTCGGAACGCGTTGAACAGATGGTAAAGTCCGGCGCGTGTTCGCACCACGATTTCCGCGAGGTGTTCAGGAACAACATTGAGAAGAGAGTCAGGTTTGAAATCTGTAACAATATCAATAAGACTGTTAAAGTGTTACTTTAATCACAATTAAGGTGACAATGCAATAGCTACTATAGATGTTATGGACGTTTTGATAGAAAAAGGCAGAATCCAAAATAATTCTTCCTAACCTTTTCTTACAAAAGCTTACTAAGACATTACGCGTTTACTACTACAATATGAATCTTAACTACTTTCTTTCGGAATTATTGTACGCGCTATACCTGTAACTTTTGTGTTCGCTTTTATAATATTTCATATTTGCCTTAACAGTGACCCCCTGCTTTCAGTGACCAGAGTGAAGCTTGTGGATTTCTTATATTCAAAATTAATAATCTCTTGCATGCAATATACAACAACAGATATATGTACATAACTATGTCTAGGGCTCAAGGTGGTAGATGATAAATAAAGGCTTACTACACTCGTCACCAATCAACTATTAATGATAAGGATTGTTATTTTATTTCTATAATTTTAGTGCTACTCTCAGCAATCAAGATGAAAGTTTTTGTTCATTTATCTTGAAAAAATTTAAAATTTAAAACTGTGACTAGTTGTTAAAATTTTATATTTGAATTGTTCTAGAGGTTTATGTTGCAGCAATTGAAATTTTTTAACTAATGGTCAGCCAATTTAAAATTGTTTCCCAGGTCTTTGCCAGAAATAGATGGATTAAGTAAAGAGACTGTATTAACTACGTGGCTTGCTAAACTGGACTGCATTATGAAAGGAACTGGTAAGAATGCTCTTTAGACTAAGATTTCTAAAGACTAAACAAAAGAGAAGAGAGTCATAAAAAAGAATTGGTTATCAGGGTCCAGTTTTTGTTCAACTCTATCCAAATAATCGTTCCAGTGTCTTGTATGAAAAATTTCAATTTGACTTTGTGACTCTCAGTTCTTCGATGTATGTACCACTAATGAATGAATCATCGGAAAGTGATTGAGCATGTGCTATTTGTGTTAACGCATCACTTGTTTATCAAATAGCTTACCTGCATTTGAATGTTTGTGACAAATACGATCGGTGTGTGTCCATTTATAGTTTTACGTATGTGTATGAGTTTAGTTTCATTTTAAACCTTCGTATGAGAACTACTTTAATTGGGTGAAAACGATTAAAATATTTCTACTCGATGCTATTAGATTATTTATAATTGAATCGATTCAATTGTTATTCCAAGACACAGCACTTGTTTAAGTTTGAAAATTTTCCATAAAATCCTTCTGATTGTGAAAACTCATTACATCAAACAATTATTCCTCTATTGAAACTTACAAAAATTACAAGTCACCCTATCCTGCATAGAAATGTAATTTAGTCGTTCAGAGAAATATTCTACTACTCTTATTACCGGTTTAAATATTCTATCTACAGATAGATTTGGTTACTGGAGATAGAATTTCGACGTATTTATTATGGAGCTAATGTCAAATACCTATCGCTAGTAAACAAATCTATCTGTAAATACAATATTGAAATCGACCGGAAAACATTTCAAAAATTAACACCCATAATTCTTCAAAATTACTTGACATCTTAAGAGGTCTGAACTTAATACAGATTTGGTTTATTTATAACCAATTTCATTAAAATGAAAGCAATATTGATGTGGGGTTAATAGTTACTCAACACTGTAAACAAAATAGCTTTGATGTTCCGGAATTGTATGTGGCCTGCGTCTGTCTCACTCTGTGTTTCTGTCCCTCTCTTTCACGACATGTCTCTCACACACAACCCGAACAGGAATAACAGGTATCACGCGATGTCAGTTCATTGGTTTTTCCTAACATTTTTCCATACTTCAGCTTATGTCTTATAATGTTCGCTTGTTTCTCTGAATGTTTGTATTCATGTTTTACTTTGCGTGCTCCTTACTGTGAAACTAATTTGAATACCCAACATTGGCGGCTTATTTATTATTTGAATTTTATAATTCATTTTTTTGTAAAGCAATCGATAAAAATAAAAAGTCACAGAGCTTCCTCAGTAGACTTGTATGTTGGGTATTCTTAAGATAATTTAATTTAAGATAACTTTTTTAACTGGTAAGTGTTAGCATTGGCAAAATATAAGCTTAACATTAATAAAGCGGCTTTGTTAATAATCGCTTTGTTTGCTTTATTAACGTTGGCTCTGTTCACAATCCAGATAATAATTGTGAGCTACCTGTAAAGATCTTAACTAACTATAGACATGCTTTTCGTAAGTTATCTCCATCGATTTACCGTAAATAGATGTAAATTCTTTTTAAAAATAACAAGGTCATCTGTAAGTATACGTATATCTGTTTAAAAATAACTTATTTTAACCTAACATTACCATAACTTTGTTTACCCTAATTGTATATTGTACTCTATTTTTAAAAAAGTAAACACTAAACCTTGTGACTTTATACTATTTTTGCTTTGGTATAAATTTAAAAAAATTAATTTTCTATTTTAAAATATTGCACAAGTATTTCAACTGAACTAAACTTCTTTCTCACTAAAGTAGTTCCAATTATTAAATTGCAAAAAATTCGATAGATATTCAGCTGCGAGAATGCTATATTAATCATTATTTGGAAGGTATCCCGGGCGATGATGAGACCAAAAGACCATCGCGTGCGCAGCAACAGAGTCTGAATGCCGAGTGTATACTCAGCAAAGAGCAGCTCTACGACATGTTCCAGCAGATTTTGGGCGTGAAGAAGTTCGAACACCAACTTCTGTTCAACGCTTTATTAGTAAGTAATTGGTTAAAACAAATGACAACGTACAATGTCAGTTCAAATATGAGTTAAATTAATGAGTGCACGGATTACATAAGATTTTATGCCCTGCACCCACAAATCAGGTGTAATGGTAGTCAACCAATTAGATATTTGTAGAAATAACAATAAATATCTTAACATTAAGATATAAATCTCTCAAGGTTCGCTCTATCTTATGATCATGGCAACTGAGAGAATATTAAAAAAATAGTAAAACATGATAAAAGCAAACTTTAAATATTTATAAAAAGTTCTTATAACGTTTTAGAGATGATGTAATTAATAAAAATTGACAATCAAAATCTTGATACGATAGATAGAGTAGAACTAAATTAGCAGGCGAAAATATATTAATTCATTTAGATACAGAGACTTATGTTGGGTCGACTGTGTTTTGTTTTATCCCTATTTAATAAAACATCGTCGTGTAATTTTTACAGCGACACTGGTTAGGTGGTTAAAAAGAGCCCAATTATATTTTGTAATAATTTTAAGGTAATTGAAGCATAAAACTTCCCCATTTTCTTTAGCTGGACTCCGCTGATGAACAAGCAGCAGCCATTAGAAGAGAGCTGGATGGGAGAATGCAGAAAGTTAATGAAATGGAGAAGGTAGGAAATTGCTTGAACACTGAATTATGACCGGCTTCAAGATTTCGTACATTCTTGCCCTTGTTCTTATTGGCTGACAATGTCTCAATGTCTCAAACTTCTTTTTAATGCACTCATCGATTTTTTCATGTTTAATATCTATGTGAATTGCAACTTTTGACTTCTCATCGAAACCTTTTTTGACAAAATCAGCATCAATTTAATCAACAGAACCGCAAGTTGATGCCGAAGTTCGTTCTCAAGGAAATGGAATCCCTATACATTGAAGAGCTGAAGTCATCCATCAACCTGTTAATGGCCAATTTGGAGTCTCTGCCTGTCTCTAAAGGCGGGGCGGATTCCAAATACGGCCTGCATAGAATCAAGCGGTATAATCACAGGTCAGTATTGATCATACACCATTCCAATTTTATGTTTTCATCAATGCAACACTTCGTAACGACTTTTGAGGAAATTACTGATGTTAAGATGATTCCTTAACTATGTTTTTGGAATATATGGACATGAGCATTTATTAAATCATTTATATCTTGCAGCGCATACATTTTACAAAGACTTTTTAATTTCTTCAATTGTCGGTAAGAATTGGATTAGAGAGAATTTTTCAATTTCATTTGTCGTATTTCATTATCGTACTCTACATGATACCTAATTAAAAATGTGTGGTTTTAATGTTATTGAAATAAGGCTCGCCTTTCGTTTTATAGTTAAAAGAATCATTATATCATCTGTGGTCAATGTTGTCGCAGTAATGATTGAAATTGGCAGATTGTGCTTCGTCAATGTTCAATGATATATTTTATGTGAAAATTTAATATGCACCTACCGATTATTCTCTATTTTTATGTTCACATATGACTTGTAGCAGTTGACATGTTTATCAGATTCAGACAGGCATTAGTTAAGTCTGAAACAATTGAAATGTATGATGTTAACAATAATCGATATAGAAATCATTAAATTTCATTTTCAAGTATAATTTTAAACCGTAACTGAAATCTAAGGTACGAAAGTGAGAATAATTTGTTGGCAATAAATATTATTACACATCTGTTATTTATACTTGTTATGAGGGTTATACTTATATAAACTAACTTTGATTGTCATATTGTAAATAATATCTGTAGTTAGTTTCAATTTCAAATGTTATTATGTTAATATCGTTTCTAACAAATTATTCAAGCCTATCTAATGTACAAAAACTTTTTATACATAAATTTCAACCAACAACAAAATAATCAACATGTTCAGAAATCAATTCAAGATATAGAAATATATAACAAAAACTGCGAACAATATCACCGAAAATAACTACAAAATGTCTTAATTTGAACATAACTCACATATAATAAAATCAATTTCATGTGAATAAACACTGAAGATACAGACAAACAGTTTAATTAGCTCATTGAACACGAGAGAAATCAAAACGTTGTAATGTGGGTAGGATTTAAAACTGTCAAAATCTTTGCTTCTTTCTACTTGTTCATTTCTGTTTTGGTTTTCTGTCCCTGGCACATTTCCGGACGGTAATAAAAGGAAGTACAAGTAATGAATACATAAATGATTAATTTGCGCACGTGTCTTGTGTAGCGGGATCCTTGTACACACCCTGTAACTTTTTTTTTATTGAGGTCCTGACGTTGTCATCACAATACCTGCAGACCACTGTAGACTTAGATTTAAATTTATTGACTTAGTGTAGTTTTACCCTGAACACGGAAGATTCCCTGAAGATAGAATTAATTTAATGCTTGTTTTCATAATTGCACAACATTAATTTCGCTAGTAACTGGTAGAACTACATAAAAAAAATAAGATCCGAGTTATTTTGAAATAAATTAGTAAGAATAGGCATTTACTAAGGTATCTGTCTGGTAATCCTGAAACATCAATATTTAATCACCAATTAATTAAAAGATGGTATTTAAACGCTAACCCAGCCCTTAGCCAACCATGATATGTTTTAGTTTAATAACAATTAAATTTATATTTTTTTTTACAAGTCCTTATTTATCATAAAAATAATTTTATGTAAAGTTAAACCGATCAGGTTATAGCAATAACATACCCAAACATTAGTCTAAAAATAATTTACAGTAAAACTAGATTTTTAGTACAGTTTAATACTATAAATCTTGTTATAAACCCCTAAAAACTCCCCCGTTGAAAATTTAATATTTCTGGGATCTTCCGACTCTTAGACCACAGTATACTAGATACTACTAATGAAAGCACATCTCATTGTAAAATTATGAAGCATAAAGAACATAAATCAAGTATTCAATACAATACTCAGATCGTATTGAATTTGTAATTGATTTATATCGTATATAAGATTCAATATTGTATATGTAATTTACTTAGGTTATAATATTCTAAATATTTTTTGTTCAATAAATTATTTAATTTAGTGAAAAAGAATACGTTACCCATCTGACGAATTTGAGAATTTATGTGCCTTCATTTTGTATTGATCCTAATTATAGCTAATCAAAATCGAGCTAATTAAAACTAACAGGGTCTCAGTATTGGTAGCATTAAGAATGACAACTAAGGATAAATTTTTGCTTCCACAACGCAGCCAAGAGAATTAGCTTATATAGACTGTAAATAACGAGTAGAGAAATGAATATCCTATATCTATAGCTGTCTTTGCTAAATGAATATAAACAAACTGAGCTTTGGCGTAAATCTAGTCTGTAGATTGTTCCCATAATATTTATGTACGTAATAGGGAAATATACGGAAAACAAACCATACCAGGCGCTTACGACTGTTTCCTCACAGCTTGTCTCTTCACTTCCGTCTTTATTTTCTTCTTCTTTAATTTCGTGACCTATTACCATACACTTTATGTACATACAGGAAAGGAGAATGACGATATTATTAGATATTTAAGATCGCTTCGCGCTTGTATAGGGCTTCGCTTGACATAACAATAGATACTTAGCGTCCATCATACTTCACCTACCACAGTAAGCCTTAGAATACGCTAGATTGTATGTGAATGTTCTAAACTACTACGTAACCTTTTCCCTTGCAATGCTTAATCATTCTTGGTATCGGTGATGGTTCTATTTTGTATGCTACCATGCATCTTCCATGGGCTTGAATGAATGTAAACCCCCGAATCCCTTTTTTTCAATCGTTTGAATTTCCATTTCAATAATAACTTGCTTGATTAATATTTGATGGATTACTTTTGCTGTGTCTAAATGTAATTTCTTGTCTTTAACGTTATCAATTTTAACGGTGAATTTAACTCGCCTCAATCCACTTTCACCCCTTATTAAATGTTTCAATTAATGTTTGTCAATAATGTTAACGTTTTTGACATGATCACAATTTCGGTGGTTCGACGGGTGAGACAGATCAAATGCTGGAACAGATCCGAGTCCAAGGTTGAGTAAGCAGCTGTGTTTCAGATCGCAAGGCTCTCTAGCGAACAAGTTGACGGGCGAGGGAGACGGCGGCGACGTGGACACGCAGCTCACGAAAATGGATGTGGTTCTAACATTCCAAATAGAGGTAACCATTGAGCGAAAAACGATGAGTGGTTCGGGCTTAAATATATCTGTTTGAATACAAAAGCACGTGTTTACTGTTTATTAATTCGAATTCCAACTGTTCTATCAGATCTTCTTAAGCACCATAAAGTTGTTCTTCGGATTTGTCAGTCTTGTTTTCTGCATTCTTAATCTTAAGCTGTTTGAAAGTTGAATTCAGTATTTAAATTCCAATTTCATTTCTAGTAATATTAACATGTACTAGTTAAAGCTTTTCAGTAAATTTAAATTGTTAAATAGAATTTTGTTTAATGTCCTGAATGACGGAAAGGCTTAGAAGCTAATTATAAAAAAGGACGGCAATTATTTTAAACACATAAAGTAAGGTGATAATTAAAAGTTTCAGTACATTTTTGATAACCATTTCAATTTGGAACTGGACTCGTTCTAGGTGGTTGTTATGGAAGTAAAGGGTCTGAAGTCTTTGGCTCCAAACAGAATAGTGTATTGCACGATGGAAGTGGAAGGCGGTGACAAACTGCAAACCGACCAAGCAGAAGCCTCCAAACCAATGTAAGAGTCAAAAATTCACTACTTCAAATCGAAAGTTCATTACTCACTAAATCTTCTATTTCTTTTGTGCCAGTTACCAACAGCATTACTACTAAAACTGTCAAAAAATTCCATGAAGGCGTTCACATGCATAAATCTCTTATTCCATTTGATTGTCTTATAAAGAAAACACATACTAAACAAATGCCTTAGCGAGTTTGTAGAATTTAATAATTTTAAATCCACTAAATCTTCCTCCTTCGAAATTGATAACGCACAGGTGGGATACTCAAGGCGACTTCAGCACAACACAGCCATTACCAGCTGTGAAAGTGAAACTGTACACAGAGAACCCTGGAGTCCTAGCATTAGAGGACAAGGAGCTAGGCAAAGTTGTGTTAAGACCGACCCCACTTTCGAGCAAGGTAAATGTCGATTTGATCACTCATGCTTCCGATAAACATCTATAAAAGATGAAAAAGCACGCACATAAACAAAAAATGTCACGCTAGTTGTACCGTTAACACCGTTTATCACAATTATATCACCATCATCATCAGCCGGAATACGTCCACCGAACAAAATTCACACTTTACCTTTGCATCTCTGGTGATCCACAGTACAAGTAAGTGTTGTAAGTAAATGTTTTACTTAAACAATAGGTGATCATCTAATTATATCATGTATATTAATATCATCTAGTTTGTTGTAAGAACACCAATTATATATTAAAAAATATTCTTATGAATTAATAGCTATTTTTTATATCAAAAAACTATTTATGCAAATACTATTTATGGTTGGCAATAAAAAAAATTGTCGCTCAAGTACTCTTACGACTCAAAAGGTTGCCGATCCCTGACCTAGTGGGGTGCCTTTCAAGTTGGAAGGCCACCCAGTAAGTCGACTGTTGGAAGTTCCAACGCTGCGTCTTCCGGCGATACCCGGTAACATAATTTAGTCCAATTGAATCAAAACAAACATTTGTGAACAAACGTGAAGTAAAAACTTTGTACCCCTTTTTAGGAAAATTGCGCGGACGGAGCAGTATGAAATTTCCCACACTTATAGTTTAGATAGGGAAGGAGTGCAGAATGCTAATATTTTTTTTAATTATTAATGAAGATATACATTGTACCAACATAACTTTTGTTAAAGTGCAAATCACAGTATCAGTTGAAACTATAAACAGGTATTATAATCTATAACGAACTCTATAATTTACAGGCACCTGAATGGCACCGCATGACAGTACCAAAGAACTTGCCAGATCAAGATTTGAGAATCAAAATTGCGTGTCGGATGGATAAACCGCTAAACATGAAACATTGCGGGTATGTCTGAAACACAAAAGCAATAAGCATTCGTGAAAGTGAAAACAAAAATAATGTAGTTATTGTTACTTTAAAAGACTTCCATTTTCAAAGTAAAATTACTTATTGCTAATTTAAACTTCTTATTGTAATTTTTATTTAAAAAAAAAAACATTGCTCTCACTTTAGGATAACATTATCCTGTGTTGTAAGGACGTTTTACAAAATAAACATAAATTTCGCATGGACAAACACCCAGACGCGTAACAACTATCTGTGGGTCGCACAAATATTTGTCCCGTGTGGGACGCCGAAGCCAATACCTTGGCAACTGTTTTACGGAGTCATCAATCATTATTATGACGAAATTATTTACGAAATTCTAATCCCTAGTTATCTCCACGTGATCGGAAAGAATGTATGGCGCAAGTGGAAGCGTCGCTACATGGTTCTGGTGCAAGTTAGCCAGTACACCTTCGCGCTGTGCTCGTACAAGGACAAGAAGTCGGAGCCTGCCGAGATGATGCAACTTGATGGGTTCACCGTAGACTACATAGAGCTGGCAAGCGGTAAGGTCATAATGCCGTAAATAAGAAAAAGGATTGGGTGTTGTACCTACAACATGATTACCGCCGCCCATGAACAACTGCAACACCCGAGGGCTCACAAATGCGTTGCCTATTACGAAAGAGTATGCTCTCTTCTTGAAGGTGATGATCTTACTGGCGATCTTGCTGTTTTGATATTTAGTGTAGTTAAATTCCAAGCCTCTTATATCCAAGAGCCAAATAAAAAAAAATTAAATGCTACAAAATCCAAAAAGTATTTAACCAAAATAATAATTATAATGTAAAAAAAATAATACGGCACTCGCTAAGATACTGCTTATTGGCTGTATGATTGAAATACAAAAAAATCTTTATACGTCAATTGAAAAACATAGCTTTATACCGCGAAAGTAGAGTGAAGTAACAGCCTATATACCCAATACGTCCCACTGCTGGGCAAAGCCCTTCTCTGTTTAGAGTACATTAGTAATATTTTATAAGTATTTCCAAAATATCTAGGTTTTCTTACGGTGTTTTCTTCTCAGCACGTGATATGTCAGCAGTTAAAAACAATTTCAATGGTGCTTCTAGTACACTAAATTAAAAAAACGACCCCCTATACATTGAATTATCACAACTAGACAGAAAAAAGCTTGTTGATGATTTTTTTACGTCTAAAGAAATATTAATGTGTTTTAATTTCTTCACAGCTCAACTGATGGTTGGTCAAGGTAAAGACATTTTATTTAATACTTGAAATTAATGTTGTCAGTTTTAAATTAGTTCATAAATAAAATAACGGTTCCGATATAAGAAATTTTTGGTATGAAGGAATTAACTTCAGCAACATTATAATCTGTTCGGGAGTCTCAAATCTATACTTATATCTGAATCAAAAATAATCTGGCATACATTGAGAATTTTGTTAAACGCTCTTAAGCTTTCTGTTCTTTGTTCAAATTTCAATATCTTTATTCAATATAGAAAGCATTAAACTTAGTCATTTATTGTCAAAACGCTACCACGGAAAAGAGAAGCCATTGAACTGAGAAGAACCGGCGAAAGAAACTCAGCGGGAGATTCTTATTACAAAAATTACAGAACTGGAGGGGGCGAAGTACTTCATGAACGCGGTGCGTGACGGCGAATCGGTTCTGATGGGAGTCAGCGACGAGAATGAGTGTCACCTGTGGGTCATGGCGCTGTACCGCGCCACGGGCCAGAGCCACAAGCCGACGCCGCCCACCACTTCTGACACACACATTAAGATCATGGGGGGTGAGATCAAGCACATTTTGTTATTGTACTGTGTGCGGAAGGGGATGGGTTGTAAGTACAAACGACGAATGCGACCTAGAAGATCTAGTTTAGTCTTCTCTTTGAACATTGCCCCCTAACCGTAGGATAAGACTATCCTGGGTAACACGTTTCACATGTATAAAATTCAGATCCGAAACAATTATCTGTGGGTCTATTTATGTGACCTTGTGTGAGAATCGAACTCACGGCTCTAGGCGTCGAAACCCATACCATGGCATCTTCGCCACGGAGTCATCATAGCCATACATTCTCATGAACGAGTGACAACCTGCGCGAATATGCGCGAAGTCGATGGACGCAGAAGGCTCAGGATCATGCTTCGAGGCAATCTGTGGGGCCTAGAACGTTGGGGCCTTCAGCGTTGGCCTAGAACAGGCTATAATTATGATACCCATCAACATCAGATGCCGCTTGTAAATTAAAATTTAAATATCGCCAGGAAATTGCATATTTTCGAAGTATTAATAATAGATCGAGGACATGTGAAGTCCGCCAATCCACATTGGGGCCACGTGGTGACCCAGCAATGGAACTTATTCAGGCTGTAACTTTACTGTTACTTGTAGCTTGGTATTAATGATAATAAATTGCTTAATCCTCAGACGCTGACAAGGCTCGTAAGCATGGCATGGAGGACTACATCCAAGCGGACCCTTGCCAATTCGACCACCACCAACTGTTCTGCATCCTCCAGTCACTGACTCTAAAGTACCGTCTCCAAGATCCTTACTGTTCTTTGGTAAGAACTACATTTATGTCATTTCGCAGACAGTCTCTTACTTTATGGGTAAAATGGGGCATAATTTTAATTAATTGTGGTAGGGCCAAGCAACACTGTTCACTGTTGCACGAATTGGCAGGTCCGTCCGGGTAACTAACATGACACAGAAGAAGTACATAAAGTAGAAGTGTTACACTTCTGCGTTTCGTCTGGTGAGTGAGGTAGCCGTGGCCCACTTCATTTGAAGATGGACGCATTTGCAACCCTACGGGTGTTAAATCATACTTACCAAGTTATCAGTCAAACAATGAAAAAACGCTGTGCAACAAAAGAAAATAATAAGACTCCTTAATGTCTGGGAAATGCTGAATTGGAATCAATTTGTAATCTCCTTTTCCAGAAATAAGAGAAAGAGTAGGCCCCTCCTAAATATTATGTATCTATAATTGTGTTCCAGGGCTGGTTCTCGCCCGGACAAGTGTTCGTGTTGGACGAATACTGCGCCCGGTACGGGGTACGCGGCTGCTACCGTCACCTGTGCTACCTCTCCGATCTGCTCGACGTGGCGGAAAGCGGGGCACAGACTGTAGATCCGACACTAATGCACTATTCCTTCGCGTTCTGCGCGAGCCATGTGCATGGGAATAGGTGAGCTCTTTTCTTTTCTCATAACCTCAGCTTTTTAAATTCTAAAAGCGTGGGTTCTTCGGTATAACGCATCTACCAGATTTATCAAGCACAGCAAGATTGTGGTGTGATTCTGGAAATTATTTCGGGGACTCATAATCTAGAACTCACGAGCACCCGCTATAGCCTCAGTGGGTTAAAACCTAAGGTATGGGTTCTTTGATATAACGTCACACCTATCAAATTCAGACACGCACAGTAAGATTGTGAACTGAAAAGTATTTATGTTGGGGAATCATCGAACTACCCCAGCACTCACTATAGCCTCAGTGTGTTAAAAACCTAAAGGTATGGGTTCTTTGGTATGACGTCACACCTATCAAATTCAGACACGCACAGTAAGATTGTGAACTGAAAAGTATTTATGTTGGGGAATCATCGAACTACCCCAGCACTCACTATAACCTCAGTGAGTTAAAAACCTAAAGGTATGGGTTCTTTGGTATGACGTCACACCTATCAAATTCAGACACGCACAGTAAGATTGTGAACTGAAAAGTATTGATGTTGGGGAGTCATCGAACTACCCCAGCACTCACTATAGCCTCAGTGGGTTAAAACCTAAAGGTATGGGTTCTTTGATATAACGTCACACCTATCAGATTCAGACACGCACAGTAAGATTGTGAACTGAAAAGTATTGATGTTGGGGAGTCATCGAACTACCCCAGCACTCACTCTAGCCTCAGTGGGTTAAAACCTAAAGGTATGGGTTCTTTGATATAACGTCACACCTATCAGATTCAGACACGCACAGTAAGATTATGAACTGAAAAGTATTGATGTTGGGGAGTCATCGAACTACCCCAGCACTCACTATAGCCTCAGTGGGTTAAAACCTAAAGGTATGGGTTCTTTGATATAACGTCACACCTATCAGATTCAGACACGCACAGTAAGATTGTGAACTGAAAAGTATTGATGTTGGGGAGTCATCGAACTACCCCAGCACTCACTATAGCCTCAGTGGGTTAAAACCTAAAGGTATGGGTTCTTTGATATAACGTCACACCTATCAGATTCAGACACGTACAGTACGATTGTGCAATGAAAAGTATTTATGTCGGGGAGTCATCGAACTACCCCAGAACTCACTATAGCCTCAGTGTGTTAAAAACCTAAAGGTATGGGTTCTTTGGTATGACGTCACACCTATCAAATTCAGACACGCACAGTAAGATTGTGAACTGAAAAGTATTTATGTTGGGGAATCATCGAACTACCCCAGCACTCACTATAGCCTCAGTGGGTTAAAACCTAACGGTATGGGTTCTTTGGTATGACGTCACACCTATCAGATTCAGACACGCACAGCGATATTGTGCTCTGAAGAGTTTTTATGTCTGGGAGCTATAATCGTACGCTCGAGCACTCACTTAAGGCTTACAGCGGTATAGAATGCGAAGACTACGCAATAGTCAATTAATTGAATTCACAAAATTATGAAGTGCATTTTTTTAAAGTGAGAAGACAAGTGAGCTGGTGGTTCATCTGATGTTAAGTGATAACCGCTGCCCATGGACGTTTAAAACACCCGTAAAGTGAGCCCCGGCTACCTCACTCACCAGATGACTTAGTCAGGAGATAACTTCCTCAAAATCCGGGTAAAAGTTGTAATTATTTACTATTCACTGAAGAATATTAAATGTTTTTACTTATTTTAATGTTATCGATCATGACATGTCTGTGTTTACCTCGTAGCTAAATGTTCCTTACAAATGTTGTAATGAATCTTTTTGTATTGCTTTAATTTCAGATTTTTTACGATTTGAAGCTGTGTTTTGACATGTTATATAATGCTATGCCAGAAATATAATGTTTTTGCTATAAACCAAATATTAATTGATAGTTGCTATTAGTATTTGAGCACAAAAATTTATTTGGAATCTTTGGTACGACCCTCGCCTAATGATAAGTTTATAACTTTTCAAATCACAATATTTGACTTACGTCACTGATTATTAATTACTTATTCAAACGTTTTTTTATAAATAAAAAACAATGAAAAGTGCACCGATGGTTATGGAAGACTTTTTATCTCGTTAAAATGGTCAGTCTTTTTTACAGATAATAATAGTTAGACCACAGATTGTATACAATAGTATTCAAATATGTTTATTACAGATTAACAATTGATAATAAAGAAACTAATAGCAAAAAAGGGTACTTTAAATCTACTTACAAACACAGCTTTAAATCTATAATAGTCACACAATCCTAGATACTACACAATGTGTTGAATGTGCTACTAGCCTATCACACTATTCCTATCTAACTTGATCGTCTCTTAATACACTGTCGTAGATACTAACCGACTAACTAATTAATGTGTGCAAGCTTAGCAAACTAACTTTTACTCTCTTCGTACTAATATTTTCCGTCTACGGATCCGCGGGGTTGGCTGTACTACGCGATGTTTGTTTCTTAGATAAGCAGACACGTGGATTAACTTTCACTTTAATTTCTTTACTGGAAAAGCTAAAGATAAAAGTCTGTGTTTCATTAAATTTGTTTTGTCATCATAATTATTTACTTGAATCATAACAGGCACATAGTGTTTGATACTTTAATTCTCAAACAAGATTACACGTAGTTACATAAGTTGCCATGGACGTAAATTCAACAAGATTACGTGCCCGAGTTTAAATATCGCTTTAGCTTGGGAAAACAGTTCGAATTCGATTCTATTCACGTACCGTCAACACCGACTCCGACCCTATCCTGCTTGTGCCCTACTAGAATAAGCCCCACAAGACAAGTGGTTCACAGTACGGCCACGTTGCCTGGCAGGCCCGACGGCGTGGGCAGCATCACGGTCCAGGAGAAGGAGAAGTTCGCCGAGATTAAGGAGAGGCTCAAGACACTGTTGCAACATCAGATCACAAACTTCAGATATGCGTTCCCGTTCGGAAGACCAGAGGGCGCGCTTAAGGTTCTGATCACCATTGTTAAATAACAATAAACGTTCAATTTACAATTGATATAAATGACAAAGTATTTACAATAGCTCCTTACTCACCAGACAAACCACAAAAATACAATACTTCTTCTCCACATCATTCTTCTATGAGGTCGTGGTCCCTAGACGAATCACGCAAATACTGCCATTGCCCATTCGTACACACAATATGGTCCCTCGGGTTTCTGGATTAACCAGCCATTTCCCTACCTTCTCATGGATATGACTCACTAAAGAAGAGCACCAAAAATGTGCTACAGTAGACTGCTCTAACTATTTCGTTTTGTTGGTTATTGCGATGAGGATAATGTTGAAACCCAATTTATATTTCATAAATAAAACAGTCATATGCTTATATATTGTGGGTTCGCCCCGTACGAGGTTAAACGAAATAGATACATCCGAAATTGCTGGTGTCTTAATCAATAAGAATTTTTGAAAGTTTTTTAGAAATAAGCAACAGAGAATTTGATGATTTTTATGCTCCATCATTCAATGGGCCACTGTTGAACGATATCAAATTGAAAATTTCTAGGCCACTTTATCGCTACTGGAGCGGGTGCTGATGAAAGACGTAGTGACCCCGGTAGCACCGGAAGAGGTTCGAACTATGATCCAGACGAGCCTTGAGAATGCTGCCCTTCTAAACTACACGCAACTGAGCCAAAAAGCTAACATTGAAGGTAAAATCAAAACTCTACCGTAACAGTTCTTTGAAAGTTTCATTTACGTGCGATAAAAGAAAAATATTTGTTATCTGAAAATTTGGCACGCGAGCTACTTGTTCACCTAACGTTAAGTGATTACGGCCGCCCATAAACTACAACACCTGACGGATTACGATTATTAGATGCGTTTCCAACCATTACATAACAGTGCCCGCTTACCGACTCACCAGACAAAACGTGAAAGTATAATACTTTCATTTTTTATGTGAAAATTCAAGCGAGCAGACGGTTCAGCTGATGTTAAGTGAATACCGCTGCCCATGGACATCCTCTACACCCGAGGGTTGCAAATGCGTTGACAACCTTTTGAAAATTGGGCTCCGGCCACCTCGCTCACCTGACGAAACGCGAAAGTATTGTACTTCCAATTTACGTCGGTCTTCTGTGAAACCGTGATATTTATCAGGACGAGCATGATGACGAATGGGTCGTGCAACATCAGAAACTGTGACGCGGACACGCAACAGTTACTCATGTTTCATTTTTCTACGAGACTAGAACCTGATGATAGATGCATTTGGAAGTAAACGTAAATTTTTTCAGCTTTTATTTTCAATACCTTAAAATCTTCAGAAAGCATAATAAAACTATTGTATAAAAAACGCTTACAGTGAGTTTACTCAGTTTAAAAAAGTATTGGTAAGCAAATGAAGGTAAAAATAAAACTTTATTTAATTACAGAGGATCTGAGAGGAGAGACGATGGTGACCCCAGCTAAAAAATTGGAAGACTTGATCCATCTCGCAGAATTGTGTGTAGATCTGTTGCAACAGAATGAGGAACACTACGCAGAGGTATTGTGACGGAATTTTGAAACATTTGAACGTAATTTACGATTTTCGAGGTGTATGTAAGAATTTACGAATTTTTGAACGGTTATTTACAAAATATGTAATTCGATGATGTATCAAATACATCACTTTTTTGAAATACCTACAACTCGAAATATCAAGTTATTTGTGTCGATATTGTATGTCGTGGTATCTGTTAGGGCAAAACTTTTTATTGGGCATTCTTACAATAAAATCATGATATTACATTTCAAAATTTTTGGGCCACCAGATCAAAGTCAATTTTAGTTTACCTTAGTAACAGTTTTTAGATAGCAATATTGAGAGATGCAAAAAAAGAAGTTTTGCCAAGCAACATGTCTGTATTCACTGGAATAGCACCCTACTCTCCTGTCGCTATTAGTGTGGGGAATGTTCAGAGTTATATTGATTTATTTCGTTTTTGTTTTATGTGCTGGGAATGATCTTAAAAGAAATATCTTTAATGATGTCTGAAAATTTGCTGTTAACATTTGACATGTCGTAAGAAATCAAAATTAGAAGTTACTGGTATTTTCTACATGTCAAATAGATGAAAAAGCTACTCTGCTAATTACAATAAAAAGTTATCAATGTTTTTGATGACTTTGAAAATAAATTATTATTGTTCAATTGATTCTTGGTACTCAAAATATAGCTTTGGCACTTTTAATGTATGTTGTTTTTTATAAAAAAAAGATAATATTTTATTTTTTTTAAATTGGGTATATTTTTGTGTCGCTTTTCGTGAAGTGAACCTTTATACATTTCTTTTTGATTAATGATTATTTACTCCTTTTCTTCTGAAAATAGTTGCGGAAAGTTTGTTACTGCTCAACACACTTACTTTTTACCTTTAAGAGCTGATTTCGTGAATAAACTAAATTCTATAACGTAACTCCGTCTTATAGAATTTAGTAGTGATGTTACGAGTCCAAGTCGATACGAAACCAATTCTATTTTCTTGTTATTACTACCTATCTAGACGAAAATAATTAACAGAACGTATTCACTTGTCGATCTTTAATGTACGCTAAGTACTCAGTACGTATGTTATAACTCCACTTCTATCTTATCTTTTGTCTCTCCGCAGGTTTATAACACAAAACCGGACTCTAGCGGTCAACAAAATGTAACTACTCATGATTTGATTCATTGCTCGGCTGATCGAATCACTTGTCAGTTTTACTCTCACCCGGTCGTCATCTTTTCCTTATCACTCAGATTTGATCACTGATTGCGAGCTGTAGCCCCGAGACGTTACATAGCGACACTCGCTTGGATAGTGCTTGGATTAGATGATTCAAAATTGAAAGCTATGCATGTCCGAATACCATTTAGTGGGCGTCTCTCATCTATTAGACCTATCACTCAATTTTATGTTGTTCGGAGTTCCAACATTGCAGTTTACATTCACACTCCCTTCACACACACTCGACACTTGATTGTATCAGCATGTTGAACATAAATCTGATCCCCGTCCATACCTGATCGCTCACAAACCGTGCCCGTGAGTTAAAGGACGAATTCAGCTGGCGCATGGCTCTCGATAACGCTAAACGTGTCGGACTAAAGTGAGTGTGACTGATACGCGATGTTAGTATTTGTTTTTAGTCTTCTGGCTCATTAATTATATATTCAAAGGTTGAAGAATAAACATTGGAAGTAACGAAATGCATAGTTTAAATTTTGATATCGATCGATTTTGAGCGAGTGTCGGGTTATTCGAGTTGCGTTCGGTTTTTCGTAACTTTTCATTCTGGGCTCAAAATTTCCTAACGGGCACGTGTCCGTTCTTCATTTGAATTGGCAGGGCGCCTTACGGTTCGGTTTTGTCTGTGATGAAAATCGTTTTATTAGTTGACTCCAGCGCCCTCTCTCGAGGGGGTTCTCGACATGATCTCGGCCACAGATTATATAAACACCGTTACAGTACATTTCACACGACTTCACAGTTAACGATTGCTTGCGTAGGCAGTTACTTAGTTCACGTAATCTTTGCTTTCACTCTGTATATATTTTTTCCTTTAATACACACCTTGTTTTTGGATAGCTTTTATATTTTCACATAACATATGCCCACACCCTAGTTCTAAACAATATAAGTACAATTAGTTATAAGTAGTTTCTGTTTCACCCTGGCTGCGCCAAACTTATTGAAGCTTTTAGAATTCATCGTGATTTTCATTTAATCGTGTAAAGCATGCATTTTAGTTATTCCCATATTGCATGGAAATGTTTATGAGATTTGTCCTTTGCATAACACGATATTTGTGTATAATGACACAATATTCTTATAATTAGACAATATTATAAATCTTATTAAATCCTCTCATAAATATTTCTTGTTATATTGGAACAAAATCAGGTAAAACAAGGTATTTTATGCAACGATAATTTTAAACATTTTAATATAAATAAAGGAAAATGGTTAAAACAAAGGCGTTATTAGATTCACAGCTTCCTTTTATTTCAGTTGTTTTAGATCTTCGTTAATTTAAATAAAGTTTAAACAATCAACAAAATATCCTTATATTCTTTACACGAACACATCCCTGACATTTTTAATGTTCCAGAACTTGTGAACACACGCACGCCTTAAGATAAAGATAACAGAAGTAACAGAAACTCAAAGGGAATTTTTCGCTTCAACCTCCTCACATTATGCCTTTTCCTCTGACAGGCGTTTGCATGGTTTTCTGAACTCCTGGTGGAACATGCAGAAATCTTCTGGGCGTTATTCGGAGTAGATATGGACCGAGTGCTGGCAGAACAGCCACCGGATACGTGGGATTCGTTCCCACTGTTCCAGATTCTCAACGATTACCTGAGAACTGACGGTAAATAACAAAAACGTTATTTTTTTTTAATGTAAAAAGTTGCCAAGCGAGCAGGCGGTTCACCTGATGTTAAGTGAATACCCATGGACATCTGCTACACCCGAGGGTTGCAGATGCGTTGGACAACCTTTTGAAAATTGGGCTCCGGCCACCTCACATTACGTCGGTCTTCTGTGAGGTCCTGGTATATTGGGTGGTCGAGCCTGCCCATTCGTGCAACAGTCGAGGCTACTGCGTGGCTCTACCATCGTAAACTTGTGTGATAGAGCTGAGGGAAAAATTTCTAAGTAGTTGACAACTTAAAAAAACTTGAATTACTTAAAAACTTATAGTAAATCTTCCTTTGTGTTCAAATTGTAAATGTAATTGCAAAGTGTAATTTAGCCAGTAACACGTAATAAATGTTCTCCTTTTCTTGCAGAAAACCTTAAAGGCGGAAGGTTCCATGAGCATTTGAGAGACACCTTCGCCCCCCTAGTGGTACGCTACGTAGATCTCATGGAGTCATCGATCGCTCAATCCCTCCACAAGGGATTTGAAAAGGAGCGGTGGGAGATTAAAGGGTGCGCAGTTTTTTATCACCATTTAAATCTTTTACTTGAATTCTTAAAGAGAATACATTACCCTTTGAATTCTTACGGTTACAAGAGCTTAAAGAAACTAACATTCTGAAAGCATTGTAAGGATAGATTAAAAGTGTGTTAACAGTTTTGAAAAAGCCATGCTTTGGTAATTTCTGTTAAAAATAACAAAAGAAGAAGCCATGGATTATGGCCGCGTATGTCCCGCAGTGGAGTGATTTGAGCAGGTCGTGAATATATCAGCGATGGATTTAATTTTGTGAACCTATGCTTTTAGCAATGGATGCTCCACCAGCGAAGAGCTGTTCTGGAAGCTGGACGCGTTACAGTGCTTCATCCGCGACCTACACTGGCCGGAGCCGGAGTTCCGTTCTCATCTTGAGCAGCGACTGAAGCTGATGGCCTCCGATATGATGGAGACCTGCATCCAGAGGACCGAATCCTCGTTCCAGGTCAATTAAAAATCAATAACCAACAGCTGTTTTAAAATCAAACGAAATCTTAACATAGATTTTGATATAATGGGATGTAAATGAGAAATTACATATGGTTATCAAGAGTGCGCATCTTACTTACGAATTGCTAAAAAATTCAGAATTCAACAACGTTTCGTTGGTTCCCTAATTTAGCTTACATAAATAAGTGCTGATAGTATACGTACCTCATACCATCGTTTGCATATCAATCTTCGTTAATTCATTAGTACCAACGCAACCTATTACTCTGCTGGTAGCACAATGAGTAGAACAGCTTAACCGATAGACCACGACCTCACATAAGACCGGCTTGATGTTATTCTACTTTTGCGTGTCGCTTGACAAATGAGGTACATACGATATCTTTCACCTGAATGGTTGAAAAGATACCTTTAGTAATGTTGGTGACAATGTAATTTTGAACAAAAAAAACCGACTTCAAACAGGAAACTAAAAACATTGTCAACACCTATAACATTTGAGGATTGCCCTCGATTTCTCTGGGATGCCATCATCAGATCTGGTATGATGGTGGATCTAACATGGTACCACCCTTGGGATATCTCCTTTCCAAGAAAAAAAGAATCATCAAAATCGGTTCATAAATGACGAATTATCCCCGGACAAACATAAAAAAAAATAAAAATATATACGGTAGAATTGAGAAACCTCCTTTTTTGAAGTCGGTTAAAAAGACCAATAGACACTTCTTATAAAGCGAATCGATTATCATCTATTATCGTTAGCCATCATCATCATCCTCCTGCCCTAATCCCATCAAGTTCGTGTCGGCGCAACATGTGAATCATGTTGTGAATGGTATGACTAGGATTTTTCCGACTGGCCTGTCAACCCGCCTCATGTACAAACACGCAGACCAGGAACAACTATCTGTGGGGCATACAAATTCGTCCAATGTTGGAATCGAACCCACAACCCACGATTAACTGCTTAAAATAGAAACAAATGTTTCCCCCCCCACTTTCAGTCGTGGCTGAAGAAGAGCGTGACCTTCATGTCGACGGACTACATCCTGCCCGCGGAGACCTGCGCCATGGTGAACGTGGCTTTGGACGCGAAGAACCAAGCCCTGAAGCTGTGCGCCGTGGAGGGGGTCGATATTGTGAGTATTCGACACGAAGGAGGCGGTAGAACACCGCCAATGTATACCGATACAAATACCAAATCACGGTTATATTAACACATACCCAGATCCAACTATGACTAAAATGACTATAAATGACTATTTAATTATAGTCGGATCTGGGTATATGTAACCCTGATTTGTTATATGTAAAGTAAAAGTAAACTAACAGCCTATACTTGTCCCACTGCTGGGCAAAGGCCTCCTCTATACAGAGGCCCCGGGGATCGAACTCAGGTTGCTCGGGTATATTGAATTAAAGGCGAGCACTCACTCACGGACACTGACCTATCACGGCTATATGTATCTGGTTATAATTTCACTTACATTACAACAATAGCGAAAATATTTTACAACGATAACTCGAACGGGTGATGTCGCCATTGCTTCATGAAATTTAAATATTTGTAGTGCTACAATGTTTCGTTATAAAATAATGACACATTAAATTTTGTAGAGAACGAAAAAGACGGACCACGTTGTACGTCTTTCAGATTGACGCGCGCAGACGCTTTAAACGTGTTATTGCCACACCGATGAAAGCCTTAACGTGTTTCGGCTACGTTGCTTTTTCTCGCATTTGAAACAATGCTCGACGAACCGATTGCTTTATTTTTTACAGCATACAATTTAATCGCCGTATGAAATTAAAATTTTTACAGTGCCAATCTCTACGCTTAAGGTGAAACATTAAGTTTTGTGGAGAAAATGCGAAAAGGCTTTAGCCGCTTATCGGGAATCGAACTCACGTCTTCCGGATTCGCGCCTAGACGCTTTAAGCACTAAACTAAAGGACTAATTGCCACACCGACGAACTCAGCCATATTGTATTCTGAAGCAGTCAAAGAAGTGGAACCAAGTACGCATGGGGCCAGAGTTTCGGGTTTTAAAGATCCAAAATCAAATATATTATGCAAAAGAAAATATATTGATACGTAGTGTAAGACCTTAGTGTTTAGTTACGCTTTAGATATTATATTGAGCTTTATCCGATTAACCGCCTAAAGAGATGGCATTTGCGTCTTATTATTATTATTTCAATTTATTAAGTTATTTTTTCAATCAGAATCGTCCTTTCCTCGTCTTATCTTTGAAAAATATTTACTATTTTTGTTATTCTTAATGGTTTGTGATTTAATTTTGTTACTTTTAATTTGCTTATAAGTTTAATTTTGCATCATTTTTGTGTTTTGCATGTCTTTCGTTCTTTTTTATTTTGTTTCTAAGGCCATGGACCCCTCTCTCGCCGTAAGTATATAAAACAATTCTTATCAAATTTAAAGAACACTCAAAATAAACATTTTTAATACAATTATCGAATTGAAATAAGTTAAGGAAAACATAATAGAATATTCACAAAGTAAACCAAGACGTAATGTAATATACATAGAGCATATTAAAACAATTGTCGTTTAAAGTGACAGTCGCTCTACTCACAAGAAGATTGCACATAACTATTTAAACCCCTTCAATTGACCTTGATATACTAATTTACTTATATGTACAATTAAATTATTTTTTAGAGCTGGTTCTTTTCTCGCTCAAAGGTTAAGCATTACTATTAAGCGGGGAAATGCAGCTAGCGTTCTTGGCACCATACCGCGTGGATTAGGTTTATTAGATAATATGTAATTTTAGATAGATTTAGTCTTGTAAATATTATATCAATAAAGATTGTACATATAAAAAAAAATATTCTAGTTGTACGCCTATTAGAAAGAAAGAAAGAAAGAAAAGTTTATTTGTTACATAAATAAATCGTTTACAAAAAATTATTTACAATAAAAAGAAATACAATGTACATGCACCAAATAGTTTTCCACTCAGCATGAGTTCACGGAGTTAGTAAAATTCGTGAATACTAGTTTTCTGTGGAACCATAATGTTAATCTTTCTCTTGCTGTGGTAGAGCCACGTGACAGTCTTCGCTGTTGCACAAATGGGCAGGTCCATCCGGGTAAGCCCCTTAACCTCACAGAAGACCGGTGTGAAATTGAGGTTATACTTCTTGCGTCTGGTGAGTGAGGTGGCCGGTCCCTCTTTAATAAAAGGTGGCAAAGCATCTGCAACCCTACGGCTGTTGCAAATGTCAATGTGCGGCGGTTATCATAACATCAGATGAATCGCCAGCTCGTTTGCTACATTCTCACATAAAAAAAAAATAATCTCCATTGATTTGATGAACCCTTACAGTAGAAAGCTTCAAGTGATAACCTCTAAATTGGCAGTGACCACTGCGCTTCTAACGCGTACTAGTTTAGTATATAATAACGATTCCTTCCAGTACCAGTACCACGCAAAAATGGATGCCCAGATCGAAGCATGCCTCCAGGCGATGGCGACGGGTATGACCACGCGTCTATCGGCCGTTCTAGAAGCGACTCTAGCCAAGATCGCGCGGTTCGACGAGGGCAGGTCGGCACCAAACTGACTCTTATATGCTAGCTTATTTTCGTGACTTGCACTCTGATATCAGAACGGAATTTACATAAACTTCTTTGATAATTCTGTTTAGGTAAAGGATATTAAAATTGAAATTAAAATAGCATCATATCAATATCTCAATTAAAATCTATAACGTATTTAATTTTTCTTCACGATTTTAGATTCATGAATTTAGGGGTAATTTTCAAAGACCCCTTCTTAGTTCCTATCACCAATCTATAAAGTGCCCCTGACAAAATTACAAGTTTCCAATTCTCACGATTTGGGCTCCGGTTATGTCCAGCCTATGTTCTGTTCTATAATACTAGTATTAATTTATTAAGTATTAAGTTATTAATTAGCACAAAGTGTAAGCATATTAGTCAAATGGTAAAGTGATGGCAAAAAAATATTATTTATCATATTTTATGTACATTTTTAAGATACTTAGCTAGCATTCTCCATTTATTTCAGCTCTTTTAATATGAACAATGTTTTTACACATTCGGACATTTTAAATTCTATCTCAAGTGCAATAACCAGCTACAAAAAATCAATTTATTTATAAATCTTTTCATCTACTGATTGAAAATTCCACAAAGAAAATCAATTAGGTCTTTTTTCAATTCTATATCTTGACTATGATTAAGTTTTATCGGTTGTCTATGTTTTATTAATTTACGTGTTACACTCTCCTTTTATAATACACTCAAAAATCAAAATAACTATCATTTTACACACTAAATTTAGTTTTGATGTCTGACTCAACTATTTTCAGTTTGATCGGATCAATCCTGACTATAGCCAACGTTTCTGGCTCCGGCAAAGACATTGGCCAGGGTTACGTTAACTTCATGAGGAATTCCATGGACCAGATTAGGTCAAAGGTAAGCTAATATTAAACATATATATATATATATCACTTAAAGTATAAAACCTCTAAGTTATTTTTATAAAATACGTCTGTCCCGTGACCATGAACGCTGGAAAGGGTTCGAAACGTCGGGAGTTCAAATCAAAATAAAAAACTCGATAAAATCCGTAAACTAGTTTTCATTTTATAAACATGTATACAATATATTAAATTCCACATGAAAGAGCCTGGTGCGATCAAGTCATTTCCAGAGTGTGTCATCATTTAAATAATCACTAATACTATAATGATAAAATAATAATGATACTGTAATATAATAATATAAAATATACCAATACTATGTCGTCTTTAACACAAACGTTCCTATTTCCCTTTTTTCCATTTACCAAAAAAACCGAGCGAAGCTCGGTCCTCCAGGTACTTTATATTTTACACGCGATAAACTAATGGATTTACAAATCATATTCCGTTCCCACAAGGGTCTCATCATTTGCTTTTTCCCCAGGTGACGGACGAGCTTTGGATCTTGCAGCTATTCGAACAGTGGTATGGCATCCAGGTGGGGCTGATAAACACTTGGCTTGGAGAAAGGCCCGCGCTGCATCCACAACAAGTTGCCTGCCTCTCCATTATACTAAAGGTCTGATAGAGGAATCAAATAAGTCTGATCTGTTAAGGCCCCTAAGGCCAACAGTGGCTCATCCAGCCAAAAAAAAAAAAAAGTTTTATTCACACGTGATTCATCTCGTCACAGATCAACGCATTCAAATGATATGACGCGGCTAAGGAAAATTTTGTAATAAGATGTACCTATATATATATATTTTTGTGAAAAGGTTTTGGGAAAACCTGATGTTAAGTAATAACCGCCACCCATTAACATTTTCAACAACTGCAGGGTTGCAGATTCGTTGCCACCTTTTAATAAAGTGGGCCCCGGCTACCTTCATTCATTAACCAGACGAAACGCAGAAGTATAACACTTACACTTCGCGTCGGTCTTCTGTGTCGGTCGTGGTACTTACCGCCTGCCTATTTGTGCAACAGAGAAGACTCTTGCGTGACTCTACGACAGTTAACCAACCAAAAATACATTTAACGAATTATCCCAATAAAAATGAAACGATTGACAAGTATGAACGCAAATTCGAATTTTGAAATGAGTAAGATGATATTAATTAATACCACACACATATGTGTGTGTGTGTGTGTGTGTGTATTATACAGGTAATTCTAGACAAACATGTATGCGAAAAGATAAAAGTATAATGATATCCTACAGTAAAGGTGTCGTTTTAAATAAAAAAAAAATAATAAGTTTCAGACTGAAATATTCCTCAGCACTGGAGACATTGGGCTGTTCGTGTCTTCACGATTTCTCATTCCGTTTGCAGAAAATGTACAGCGATTTCGAGCTGCAGGGTGTCATTGACGACAAGCTGAACTCGAAGGTCTACCAGAGCGTGGCAGCGAGGATGCACACAGAAGAGACCACGTGCAGCCTGCTGCTAGCCCAGCAAGACGCCGGGTGAGTCATCCTATATCGCTAGACCACAGGACTTTAAGCTTTGTATTAGTAATATATTACGATTCCGATGTCGTGTAATCAGTACGTGAGATTTGGGCGACCAACGCTTCTGGTCAGTCGGGATCGAACCGGGATCAACATAGACGCCTCCAACTAGAGGTATAAGGTCAAAGGTATATAGGAAAACAGACAGACGAGGAGAACGGTCTACTGGAAGATCTGGAATATCACATTGCTCATTGGCAGTTGGCCCCGAATATAAGAGTTGTACCCCCACTGCAGTTTGTAAGACTTGCCGAGCTACACCTGCCTTCGATTACTTCGAAAAAACCGAATGCTTAACTGTAAATCTAGAACTCCAGTGTACCTTACCTCCTACTACCGTTTGTTTGAACTAAATGCGCTACACTTGCCTTCGATGAGTTCGAAAAACCAAATTCTTAGCGGAAAACTTAACACCCCAATGTACTTAATCTTGCAAACACGTAGATCCAGTTCACACGTAGGAGGTTAACTCCGTTGTGGAACTTAGGACTACTTCACCAGTAGGCGACCTGTTAAATGTACTGATCCCAGAGGTTGGAGAGAAGGTCAAAGAAACAATTAAGAAAGTCAAATCGTGGTCCGCGCTAGGTCACTATAAATTAACAGTAAGTCTTCTAGGCGCGCTCATTTGTATTCTCCTTTTCGGGTGCCTTGAAACAGTTTATAGTTAGTCTACATTTACAAAAGATCAAATCACTTAACCAGCTTCTTAGCCATCGCCTGAATAGTTCCAGCGTTGGATTGGTCAATCTATACTAAAACAATTCGGGCTCCGACCTAATCATTTTTGCTTTAACATATATTTCACCTGGATGGAACACAATGTCCCAACCACTCCACACTCTCCTTCAAACTAAATTTCATAGTTAATAGATCAGTACGAATCTATTTAACTAACTACCCATATCTCGAAGAACCCACGTATTTGATTGGTTTGCTTTCATATTCGGATGAAAGTAAACCAATCAAATACATTTCGGGTCTCTTGCATCTAAAAATACAGGTGCTTTAATTTATGAGACTATTTAATTTTAATGGCGGGATGCTGCAGGTTACTCAAATAGTCTATATGAAGCCAAAAGATGGTGTGCCTCAGTAAATCGATAGCACCATCGATTTACAAGGACTTATTTAGATAACTCATTAATATCATGCTTTCACTCCAGAGGCGGTGAAGACGGAGGCTCAGAGGAGGGATCCAGAGGCGGGAAGTCGAAACTGGAATCGCTCACCGAAGACGCAAAACTTGGCAACGTCACCGCAGTCGTGGGAAAGGTAAACGTAACGCTGATAGTAATTTAGATACCTCTTCATTTGCCGCTCGGAGTTTTTTTTAATGTGAAAAGACAAACGAACCTGCGGTTCACCTGAAGTTAAGCGATATCTGCCGCTCGTGGATATCTGCAAGACCCGAATGCTTTGCCGCCACTCACCAAACGAGAGGCAGTAGCATAATACTTCCACTTCACGCTTGTATTCTGTGAGGCCGTGGTACTTCCCCGGACAAGCCTGCCCATTCGTGCAACAGCAAAGTTTGGTGCGTGCTCTTAATACAGCTGGTCAACTGTGGTGCAGCCACGCAGCAGCCTCGGCTGTAGCACGAATGGGCAGGCTCGTCCGGGTAGCACGACCTCACAGAAGACCGGCGTCAAGTGGAAGTATAATTACTTTCGCGTTTCGTCTGGTGAGTGAGGTAGCCGGAGCCCAATATTCAAAAGGTTGTCAACGCATCTGTAACCCTCGGGTATAGCTGATGTCCATAGGTGGTGGGATTCACTTAACATCAGGTGAACCGCCTGCCCGTTTGTCAACTTTCACATAAAAATAAAATGAACAACATGATCTAAAAATGTTTTTATACCTTATAATGTTTTCCTTGTATTAATTTGATTGCTGCAAAATGTTCTTAAGTTTTCCTATTAAATTACACAAAAAGATCTAGAAGAACTGATAATTAACAAATGTAGGCTTATTTTACTAACGTGATGACAAAGCAACGCCTTTACGTATTGTTTTAGGTTGGCAACATGTTTGGCCGCGGCATCGGGGAGCTTTCTACCAAACTGGGCGGAGCGTCGTCTTGGTTTTAGTGCCTGGAGACATCAAAATTTATTTTATGATCACTTTCATCACGCATTCTTGTTCCAAGGCGAGATCAGATCTCTGTTGTTTTTAAAGCGTTTTTCATTAAGAACTATAAATGAGCGAGGCTTACCGCAAGATGTTTGTAGTAGTATACTTGTTCTATATAACAATGTGCCTCTTGTCGTAGAAATTATTAATCAAAGAACGTCATCGTAATAAATCCCGTGACAATACAATCATTTTAAGCAAGTGGCCAAGACAAAAAATTAAATTAATGCAAAAAATCAGTCATAAGTGGTAATAATAGTTTTTCCGATTCTGATACTATATGAAGAAATTTAATTTTAACAATTTTAAACATCGTCGGCCATTTTCTATTGGTAGTATGTGGCTAGCGACAAAATGGCGTCGTGACGATATAACCAGATTAAAAAATATAGTAACTGGAAAACGCGTACCTAGCTTAAATTAGCATTAAACGAAGTCTAGATTTTATTTTATAATAAAGCTTTATGTACAGTTAGGATCACTATTGGTTTATCGGAGCAAATAACGTGTGTTAGGTGTGAATAAAGTTAGTAGTATTTGATATCACGATTGATTATTATAAAGGAAATATATATAGATACGAGATATAAATATATATATCACGAAGCTACAATAAGGAAACATATCGCTTTGGCAAATTTAATGTATGTTAATCGCAGTCGTGAGTATGTCGTTAGTATTGTATCAAATATTGGAATGGAAATGGAGTGAGTATGGAGAAGGTATCCTTATCAGAAAGTATTCTTTGCTTTTTATAATGACCTGTCGTGATAATTAAATGGTTTAAAGCTTCTAAACGATAACTATGTCAAACCGTTCTTTCTAGCTTTCTAGTTAAATCTACTTATAAATTTTTGCTGAATTGATACTCGCCGGATTTGTTTAGATGTGAAAATAGCGTGCCCCGCCTAATTAAATAATTCAGCACAATGTCAATAGTTCAATATTTTCTATACTAATAAATTGCAATATTTTTCTATTAACTTGTCCACTTTAGGAAAATCAGTTATAATTGTAGCATTTTACTCAAACACAGTTACAAAAAAATGGCGCGCAACAAACCTTTGCCGCCAAATCTGTTACACGACTTTGTTTTTTAATGTTGCAACACAAATTACAGGCTAATCACCGTTTGCCGTAGCCGTATATATTAAAATATCTAAGTCTTATTCTCTCTAGCTACACTTTACCTTGAATTAGTGAAAATAATACATGACTATAATAATGTTATGAAATGTTTAAAATCATAGTTATATTTGTTAAAAAAGTATTCTTCTACGCTAATTAAATTACAAATTTTCGAACAACTAGAATGATTAAAGTTCTTAGATAAAAATTTAAAGTTTAAAACTAGCGGATAGTCTTTTGGCCGATTCGCCTTAAAACGGTCTATATGGAATGACTTCGTATTTGTCTCACTTCTATCCCTAAGGTCTATTCCACTTAAATCTATCGCCCTAACTATTTTGTGACTTGGCTTTTTCGAACATTATATTGGGTGTGGACAGTAAGCATTTGAAACGAGCGTCATGTATTTTCTTCAATACGATGGTATATCCTTGAATTCGTGCACTTAAAACAAATCGTTGTGAAAGGAATATGATTAAGCTATGTAACGTAAGCACTTTTAGTATGTAACAGAAAGTTAGTGCTCATAATAAACTTTTTGCTTAACTGTTTTATTGTAAAAACAGTTAAACAATAAGTACAATCCTTATTTACATGTATTGTTTGTTTGAAACTTTAATTGTTCTGTTCTGTCTGTTCTGTTCTTATTGAATTTATAATTATATCGATTTCACGAATTTTTAATAATATTCTGCATACATATTTTCAAATTTAAGCTAAATGAACCCTATGAACTAAATGTACGAAATTTCTAGATAAACCTGAACATAATGGCATAATGAGTCTTAGTATTTTCGTTTCCTTCATAGAATTATTTAGTAGAGAAACTGATAAACATAATTTTAGGAAGGATTCTATGCTTTTTCTGTTACGGTTTTACCGCATCAGAATTACTTTTACTCGACACGTATCAAATTATAAAATCATGAATAAGTATTCTTTAATGTTTTTGATCTTCAAGTGTAACGGTTTAATTTTTAATTTTCCAGGGTGGGCCGGGGCCATTAGTAGAAAAAAAAAACATTATGCATATTATAGTAGAAAAAAATCTAGAATTTCAATATCTACACCCGTACGAAGCTGGGGCGTGTCGCTAGTTTCCTATATGAAGAAGAGTAATGCTTGAGAACGTCTCCTCCCATGGTAGATCTCAACTGATTATTTTATATGGATAGTTTCATAGGTGTCCAGCCTAGAATTTCGAATCGGTAACCCAAAATCCTGGGGTGGGCACAAGACGATACTGGGGTGGGCACGGCCCACCCGGCCCTCCTGCTATATACGCCTATGGTCATATTTGTATATGACTTTTTGTTGTCAAATAATTTATTAAAAAAAGTACATAATCCTTGAATTGCTAACGTCATATCCGCTTTGATAACCGCCGCCCATAAACATTTGCAACGCCCGTGGAGTTGCAGTTGCGGTGGCACCTTTTCAGAAATACAGCACTATGGTACTTAAGCATCCGTGGATCTTGGATCTTCGTTGGTTTCTCGAGTAACCAGAAATTATAGTTTTGATGATGGACGTGGTAGTTTAGTAATGTTCATAAATAAACTACCAGAACGAGCGGCAATTCTACGCTCGTTCACAATTGCTATACTTTAATTAATCCAAAAAACTGGGTTAAGGTTTTCATTACCACGCTTAGCAATCAAATTCCAACCAGACTGCCGGTATTCGGCATAATCAGTTTTCCATTTGAATTCAGACAAAAAATAATTTCACTATTTTCTATAAAGCAATTATTTGCATCAACTGTTATGTAAAGTTAAATAATATACTCTTCTCACCGAGCAAAGAGGCAGCACGTCTTGCAAGTCGAAAACAATTGTTTGTATCAAGGCATTTGTAATTTGTATAAAAATTGACGAAAAGTTTGTCACCGCCGCGAGGAATTGAACCTGCGTCCTCCGACATCCGAGCCCGACGTTCTAGCCTTTATCTGTAACCAATTTAATCTTGGCAACCGAAAACAAATTTTTGACATTTACCAATAATTCAGAGTTATTTAAATTTACCGTTATCAATTTGCATCGTTGCATTTAAAGTCTTTACGCTAAAAAAGTGCAACTTTTTTATGCCACTGCATGGAATCATCACCGGTAACTATTGCTGAATTGCAAATTAACACAAAAATTTGTTTTACAGTTGTACACAGCTGTTTGCCTCTATAATTATGTGTGTTCATTTATTGTCGTGATTGTAAAGACACGCTGTATAGTGTTAGCGCTGGCAACACTGTATACCGGATACGACGTTATCTTCTCGAGCCAAGGGACACAAATGGTCGCATGGAGCAGTGGTCACTTGGATTGACTTGGATTTCGGCTGCGTTCCCGGACGGTGATATAGCCACTAGTGCTGCTTGTCGTTCTAATAGTCTTTAATATTCAAGTTCAGTAATAGTCAAAATATTAGAATCAAGGTAAAAAGGTTAGAACTCTTATAATAGCTATACTTTTAACCATTTTCAGTTTTCTATACAGGAAGATTTTTTTGAGAAGTGCCCAAATTTACACAGGAGGTAGTAGTATACTCGGTATTATAATCGTTTATTGAAATAAAAACTATATTTTTTCAAAAAAAATGCTATTCTATTCCCTAAAAAACAGAACTTGTTGACAATACGGTAGTCATTCATAAATACTTAAATTTTACTGTGCACGAGCTTGTGTGCGTGTTAGTTATGAATAATCGCGCGCGCGTAAAATAAATGAGTTGCGTATAAATCACGCACTTTTTGAGATAAGTTCAAATGAATGTAATTAATTACTTAAGAGTGATTTTAAATATTTATCATTTTTTATACAGCGTTTCGTTACCATCGCGACAATAAATGAACACACGTCCAACGCTACTTGCCAATAATCATAAAAAATATTAACGTTAAAAAAATCCATAATTAAAAAAAATTATTTTCAAACAAACTAATTAAGTAAAAAAGAAACAAAATTTGTAAACATCCTATACATCTCGCGCCACAGCGTCGCATTACAAGCCTCTCCTTCTAACAGTATGTTTTGTCTCTTTTAAATTCATTCAACCCATTCATATGCTTTGTGACCTTTACAAATGAACTTTACGTTACAGTTTTATACGCAAGGGTGTTCTAAAATTCTTTGTTTTGGAAAATTTAATAACTCTGTAAATATTGATGTTTAAAGAATGTAAATGTTTAATACAATTTAAAAAAGTTATCCTCTATATGTGTGTTCATTTATTGTCGCGATGGTAAAGACACGCTGTATAACATTACTTATGTCCAGAATTTAATAAAAAAAAATGGATACACTTAGAAAAGCCTCCCTGTATAGTGTATACGAAATTTATTTTTGATAAAATTGTATAGAAAACTGTAATTGCATACAAGCTATGTAATTTTTGGAGAACGTAAATAAAATACAAATATGTTTTGCGAACTTTATTTCGTTCTTTATAATGTTTTTAGCTATTTTTTTATAATGTCTTTGTTATGAATCATTTCAATTCTGGTGCCGTTTAGTAAGCTATTTACGCCACGTACATTGTATTTTCTGATAGCTTAAGAGACATCTTCAGCCGCATTTCTTTCAAATTAATAATATTTGTTTACTTATTTTCTCCAAAATAGGAACCATAGATTTTTTTTACAAAATTTTTTAACTTAGAAGACAATTTTGTTTTTAGTTTAATGTCACCATAGTTAAAAATTGATTTGCACTTAAAACAACGACATCTGTTTTTGAATGATGTAACTAAACGGAATGAGCAAACTCCATACACTAATTACCAAATGTATGGACTGAAAGATCGTGGCTGGTATCCGTCACAGCTGTCAATA